GGTACGTCCATGTGATGTCAGCCCCACAAACTTGTTGCACTCACACATGGAACTTTGGGGGGTGGGGCAGTTAGGAGCCCAGGTTTTGTTCTGACCTTCACTGGACTCCTCCTCCTCTTCCTCGTCATAGTCCTCCTCCTCTTCCTCTTCCTCCTCCTCCTCTTCCTCCTCCTCCTCTTCATTCCCAGGCCCAAAGCTCTTCGAGGCCTCTAGCTCCTCTTCACTCTTCCCTTTCAGAAGGGCGTGGATCCGCACAGCCTCCTTCCACGGAACGCCGCCCAGGTCAGAGGGGGGCAGGCGAGCCTCCTCCTCCTCCTCCTCCTCTTCCTCCTCCTCCATCTCAGACTCGGAACTGCTGTGAGGAAATAAACACACAGCCAGAGTGAGGGAATGAAGGAAAACTGAGAAGGGGAAGGGGAAGGGCCACCATCAGAAGCAATGCGTCCCAGGCAAAGCACCTGCTGAGCAGGTGGAGAGAGACAGCAGGGAGTGCCATCAGCAGGACAGGGCACCTGGGCACGAGGAGCCACCTACCCGAGCCCACCTAAGGGGACAAAGGGAAGAATGCTCCTGCTCACTGACCTCGAGCCCTTCTCTGCAGGTGGATGGGGCAGGGAGGGGACCCCTGAGGGCTGCCTGTGGGTCTGCCCTAGCCTCTGCACTCGGAGGGGAGCATGCAGAACAGCTCCTTAGGGAGCCCATGGAAGTTCCTGACCATGACTGCCCATCAAGGGGCAGCCCATCCCTCAGGGTGCTTCAACCTAGCAAACACTGAGATCACTGGTTTCGGTTTCACAGAGGCTGTGAGGGCACAAGCAGGGCAGTGGACTGGTTCTGATATAAACCCACGAGTCTGGGAATTGAGAATGGAAAGCCTTCTCTCGTGCTGACCTGCTGTCTGGTTAGAGGAACTCAACTCTACGTGACAGCGGTAGGTCAGAAGGCTCTCAGCGCTGTGGGTGTCGTGGGGGGAGGGGGGGCCCTGAAAGGCCTGGACTGAACTGGCTGGCGATCAAGGCCCGTGAGCCCATGTGCTGGGGTGGGGCGAGAGATTCCATTTCCTGGAGCTCCTCAGAATCCCACCAAGTGCCAACCCCTGAGGGGGGCACTGGGGAGGCACACCAGGAAATGATGGCAAGGGTACCACTCACTGCAAAGCCACAGCACAGAGACAACGGGGAAAGGGGCGGAGGCAAACCTGCAACCCCAGGGCGGTCGCTCTTGCCGGCCGCTGCACTGCCAAGCCCTCCTATCGAAGCTGCAGCTAAGTGCGGCCGATACGGGGAGCAGCACGCGTGCGAGAATGCACATGCCACCACGGACACTACCCGAACCGCGGCTCCCGGCTCCAGACACTCCCTGCAGCTGTGTACCTCACCCCTGCCCTGCAGAGGGAGGCAGGACAGGGACAAAACTGGGCCCCTGCAACCTGTACGGCTCCAATACAGGCAAAAACCCCAGCGTTGCTGCACAAATGGAGATGTGTCTGAGTGTTTCATGGTCTGTTAATTCCCAAAGCAGCTTTTTCAGAAGCGGCCTTGCCTGCAGTGACAGACCCGGGGAAATCCGGCTTTCACAGTCAAGCCACGGCCCGACCTCTGGCCCAACAGAGCCCCAAATCCAAGAAGCATCAGGCATGGAGGGGGCATCTGCCCAACCTCTTGTGAGGGTGTGTCCTCTCTCGCCCAGGCAGGCTCGCCCACAGCCCACTTGTGTGTGAGAGGTTAGCCAGTGAATACACCACAATGGGCACTGAGGGCCCCTGCCAGGTGAAGAATCTCGCCTTGCCAAAGAGAGGACCCTGGTCCTTGTCCTTGGCTTCAAGAAGGTAACCTAGACACGCCTGGGATGCCCTGCCTACAGGGCTGTGGCCGTCTGCCGGGGACCTCGGGTCATGTCACACAGCCTAGTTGATTAGGGTGAGGCTTCAGGTCGCACGGTATCCAGTAACCCGGAGACTGAGATCAAGCATGTGGACAATCAATCAATCAATCATTGCATGTGAAATAAAAACTCCCAACACGGAGTCTCAGGGGAGCAATACTCCTGGCATTTTGTCACACATGGGTAACAAGAGAGTACAGCCGTCCTGGCCCCACAGTGAGCACAGTGGAAGCTGAGTCTGGTTCTCTCCTGGACTCACCCCGTGTCCTTCCTCCCTTGGCTCACTGGCATCTGTGCCCTCTCCCTGTAATGAGTCACAACCATGAGTACAACAGCTTTCAGTGAGCTCTGTGAGTCCTAGCAAATGATCAAACCTGCAGGTGATTCTGGGAGACTCTGGAATTTGACACTGGGGTCAGAAATGGGGCAGTCTTGTGGGCTGTACCCCCTTTCAGTTGGCTAGTTCCCCACTCTGCCACACCAGCTCTGCTCCTGGCTGGCTGTGTGACTGTAGGTTGATTACTTGTGCTCTCTGAGTTTGCACGTTCATTCACTCACCCAGCGAACATTTCTGAGCACCTACGGCTCAGCCAGTGCACACAGGAATAAAAAGAGCTGGCTGCTTAGTGCAAGGAGCGCAGGGCAGTGAGCCCGGCCTTGTCTGTTCATTCATCTGAATACAACTTATTTGATTATCTTCTCCTTACAATGCACTTGCTAGACGTTGTAGGGAACACAGAGGTGACACAGGAAAGACCCTATGCTCAGCTGGGCCCAGTGGCTCTGGCATTTGTGATCCCAGCACTGTGGGAGGTTGAGGCAGGTGGATCATTTGAGCCCAGGAGTTTGAGACCATCCTGGGCAACCACAAGGAGACCCTGTCTCTACCAAAAAAAAAAAAAGAGAGAGATAAAAATAAAATAAAAAAAGCCCCCTATTCTCACGGGGAGAAAAGATGCATGCATGCCATGCTAAAGCACAGAATACAGGCACGGTGGGTGGAGGGCAGGAGGAGGGCTAAGGCGGGCAAACCTAAGAATCTGGGCCACAGAAAGCTTGGTATCTGGATTTTGACTAGTTTTCAGCATTACCTTTACTGGTATTCCTTTTGCCTTACGTTTGTGTTTTCATTAACTTACTTTCTTCTTTTTTTTTTTAAGATGGAGTCTTACTCCGGTGGGCTGGAGTGCAGTGGTGCAATCTCTGCTCACTGCAACTTCTGCCTTCTGGATTCAAGCGATTCTCCTGCCTCAGCCTCCCGAGTAGCTGGGACTACAGGCGCGCCACCATGTCCAGCTAATTTTTTTGGTATTTTTAGCAGAGACGGGGTTTCACCGTGTTGGTCAGGCTGGTCTTGAACTCCTGACCTCGTGATCCACCCGCCTCGGCCTTCCAAAGTGCTGGGATTACAGGTGTGAGCCACTGTGCCCGGCCTAATTTACTTTCTTATTAATGAACAACGATACGTACCTAGTGCATGTTATTTGATATTGTTTGGGCTGGGCGTAGTGGCTCACGCCTGTAATCCAAACACTTTGGAGGCCAAGGCAGGCAGATCACCTGAGGTCAGGAGTTCAAGACCAGCCTGACCAACACGGTGAAACCCCATCTTAAAAAAAAAAAAAAAAAAAAAAAAAAGAAAAAAAAAAAAAAGACATTGAACATAAAATAAGGCTAAGGACGCATCTACACTCACCTTAAATCTTTGCTGGGCCAAGGGAAGGCCTCCTGGTTCCTCCTTCCCAGCTGAGTAGCTGGGGCCTGTGCAAGGCTGCCCAGCAGTTGGCAGCAGGGTGGGGCCACGCTGCCACTCACTGGGAGGGGGCCTCAGTGCAGGCCTGTCCTCACCCTGCGCCATGTTATCAGGATGGCTGCACAGGCACAATGTGGGCACTGAATAAATGCCCCGAGATGAGGACAGAGAGGCCCGCTCACAGCTGTTAGTGTCACATCAGCTGGTTTCACAACAGCTGAAGGACCAGGGGAGCACAGAAAAGAGCAGAAAACAACCCTCACCTCTGTGCATCAGCTGCAAGCCCAGCCCACCTCCCAGAGACCTTGCCGCGTGCTGCTGTAGCTCCCAGACAGGCCACCCTCTCTTTGTGAGGGACACAGAGAAAGCCGGCAGGGGTTGCCAATGCCGTTCCAGCCCATCATTTTCACAGAACTGGGCAGTCTCTGGGTCTGCCTAGGTCCTGTGCACCACACCCAAGACTCGCAGTTGAATTTAGTGCCTTGAGGCTCCGAGCACCTGCATCTCTGGGGGAAGGGTGCAGAGGAGGGAGAAACCTGCAGTGTGGCTGACCCTCTGGACTCTAGCCTGGATACTTCTTAAGGACAGAGAATCACTATACCAGAAACAAATGCAACACAGACAGCCAACTTCTCCCTTCCTCTGGGGAGAGGGTGACTTTTCAAAAGACTGCCTCCCAGGAGAGACGGGGTCAGAAGATCTAGTCATCAAGATCACCTTTCCCTCCTTACAGGACTGGCGCTGGTGAGAACTTATTGTCCTGAGAGGTTGTTTGATTCGGGTCTGCCTTCCCCGGGGCCACACTCTCTCTCCACGGGCAGGTGCCGGGTCACCACCGTACTCCTCACAGGGCCAAGCATGGCCAAGACAGCAGGAATGTGCCAGGGGCCGCAGTGAAAGCCAGGGCAGGGTTATGCTACTTTCAGAGGTGTCAGAGGTTCACCCCAACTGCCCGCTGGTAAAGCCTCCATCAGAAGGTGCTGGCCCTTCCAGTTAGAAGAGTGTCCAGCAAAAACCCTCCCTGCTTCAGTTTACACCCAGCTACTCAATTGAAAGCACCTGCCCTGAATCTGCCCCCCAGCTGTCTTCCCACTAAGGCACTGACAGGTCTAGCATGGGAAAGAAAACCAATGTGCACGTGATTTTTGCTCCACTTTATGTGCTCTGCAGCCCTCTGCTGTGTCAAGAGGGGCAGATCCAAGGGTGACAGTGATGGATGGAGGGAGCCCTGACCGCGTGCCCGTAGCACAAGGTGGTTCTCGTGGGTAGCTCATTGAATTGCACAACTGCTCTTGGACTTTGCTGCCCTGCTTTTGTAAATGATGAGACTGAAGCCTAAGGAAGTTGGATTATTTGCCTAAGGTGATGCTGGGATTTCCACCAGGGTCCATGGATTATGAGACTCACCATGTGTCATGCTGTGCCCTCCTGGGTGGTTCTACCAGAACCACCTGCCAGGGTGACAAGACTAGGAAGAAGGTCTTGATCAAGCTCCCGGCTGCCCGGACACAGCCTGACAAGAGCAGACCAGGAATTCAAGCAGACCCTACCACGAATGAAGCAGGCTGCTGCCAGGAACCACTGGAAGTTCCTGGGTGGTTTTCAAAGGGCAGTGGCAAACCATGGTCTTCACTTTTAAACTTAACCCACTCATAATCAGAAGGACTCTGACATCGTCTGTCCTGCTGGGCTGCACCCCTAGGTACCCTTCCCTGACA